ATAATTATAATATATAATAAAATATAGAATTTAATTATATTAATACTTTAGATTATTATAATTTATTTTTAATTACTTAACTATTTCATTTTTATACTAAAACGTTTTTCTATATTTATAATAATTATTTAATTAATAATTATATTTATTTAGAAATTAATCTTATTAAAGTTAAAGATATTAGAGTCTATTCTATTATTTTTTATAATTATATTCTTTATAAGCTAGAACTATATATTTATTATATTAAGACCTTTATATTATACTTTCTTATAATTATATTTATAAATAAAATATATTTAAAGTATTAATTATTACTTAATAAAGTTTATTATTTATAATAGCCCGATTAATAATATATTACGATCTATAAATAATCGAGAAGCTATATCTCTAAGTTTATTAAGCTAAGAAAGGTAATATTACGAATCTAGGTTAAATATCTATTTAATAATAATCTTCTCTTTAAGGTCGGTTAGTTTCGTAGAATTAAGAGGGCTATTATATTAAATAATAGTATTATATAAATAGTAGAGGAGTATTATCTTTAATATATTATAGATCTTCGTAATACTCGTTATACTTAATCTTATTTCGTTTTTTATTACTTAGATAATAAGAATAATTTAGCTATCTTTATAAATTATTAATATTTCTAATAATAGAATAAATATATAATAAAGTTTAGTTCTTCGAAACTTAAGTATATTAGATTACTCGCTATATATCTATACTATCTATATTCTTTATATTCTTAATTAATAAACTATTTTAATAATTACTCTTCTCTAAAGATAAGTTAATTATTATATTTAAGACTCTTATATATTAAGTAAAAAGTTTAATTATTAATCTTTTAAAAATCTCTAAGAAGATAAAATAATTAATATTTTTCTAGTCCCCTAACGTTTCTATTAAATATTCCTTTAATACGCTTAGTCCTCTCTTTATAGTTTCTATAATCAAATAATAGGCGATCCCCTATTAGTCTTATATCTCCCTTAGGACCTGATACTATTGATCTCAGCGCTATTCCTGCCGGGATATAGTGGCTTATATCCGCTGTTCTTCCGAAGAGGATGTAGAGACGCTTGAGGCGCGGGCAGAGAGCGGAGATTCTGTCCAGCATGGCTAGGTAGCGGAGGCGTCGTTGTACTTCGCTGCTTCTGGTTAACGGTGCGCCGAACAGGACGAGGTCGATGGTGAGATCGAGCAATTTAATCGGGTGAATGCCGGGGCCCATCAGCCGCGGCGCATCGGAGCCTTGCTGGCTTGTGTTCATGCGCGCCGGCGGCGAGCGGTGGCATACGTAGCTGTACCATCGCCAGGCGAAGTCTTCGTGCGGTTCATACGGATTGCGGTAGGCAAATGTTCGAAAATCCTCTAGTTGAGAAATCGACCTCTTTGGTAATCCTTCTTTCCAATGAGGCTCTTCTTAGAGAGGTCTCTCTTCGAAACTCAGACTTGGCTAAGAAGCCTCTTTTCGATGATGAGACTTGAATACCGAGCCTCCTAGTGATGATAAAGGTCGTTCTTTGTGTCCCTCTGTGACCAAGGCACTTTATGATGAACGGGCAGAAGGCGATATTTAGGTAAGCCTGGGGGTCGCCGTCGTGTTCCGCCGGTGCAAGCCCGGCGACGTCGAAGGTGGGGACCGGGTGGCCGTAAGCCGTAATGGAGGTCAATCTGGATCGCAAGATCGCCGAATGCACATCGCAGGGCATGGAAACGAATCTCCCGTGGTAGAAAGAAGAAGCTCTGCGTCTGGGGGACGCGCTACCGTTTGTGAGGGTCGGGGGTTATGGGTATTTGGGGGAGGGGGCTCTCAAGTGGTGGCGTGGCGGGCGGGCGAGGCCTGACTGGATCGAGTTTGGGAAAATCAAGGTCTCTTGTAAGCAGGCGGATGACGTTATCTATGATGCACGCCATCGTGGATGATCGTTGTGGCGAGAACAAAGTCGAGGTTTCCTACGTTTCACTAAGTTGGCGTAATTAAGCTCCTCGACACACCCCTATTAAGACTTTATTATTGTTCTGCCTGCATCATACGGGCGCACAATGCTCCCGGTTGGCAACGAGGCTGATGGCAAGCGGAGGCTGCGAACCCGTCCTTGAGTCTTGGACATACACAGGTTACCGGCTCGCGATACTGACCAGGTCCACAGACACGGCCCCGCACCGCATAAATGCCCGTCGAAGCTAGCATTGTTAGAACCCCATGGCGATCAGACCCGCGATTTGTCTGATTTTGTCTTGACTCGTGGTTTACTCGGCGAGCTGATTCCGGATTGATAATCCCAAGAAGTAGACGAGCTCGTGCAGCGTAGTGCCTATAGGAAACAATGAAAATTCTTTCTTTATTTTATCGAAAGTGTTCATTGTCTGTTTAAGCCAATTCCTTGAAACCTTTTTTCTCATTTCTTTTTAGCCTCGTCACTTACTGCCAGTAGCTTACTCGCAGCCCATCATGACTGCCGCTTTCCCAAGAACTATTCGCCAATGGTCCATCTCGGGCACGTCGGGCCTGGACTCACTCAACTTCTCCGAGGTCCCTCTTCCTGAGTATGGCGAGACGCAGGTCCTTGTCAAAAGTAGGCACAATTTCACCTCATCGCCCTGGTGGTGTGCGTTTTGTCTAATAAATGGTCTTGCCACGTAGTTCACGCAGTCTCTCTTAATGTGCGTGGCGCTCTTGAAGCTAGGGCCTAATGGCGATCTGATCAACCTTTGATTGTAGTATCGAGACAGCATGATAACTCAAGGCGCCTATCCTTTCGCCGTTCTCCCCGACCTCATCCCCGGCTCCGACGCAGCAGGCGTAGTCGTAGCCGTCGGCAAGCGCGTCACCCACTTTAAGCCAGGCGACAAGATCGTCACAGTCTTCAACCACGAGCACCTCGACGGGCCCCACGTGCCCATCGGCGGCATCAGCTTCGGCAGTGCCGTCCATGGCGCCCTACGCGAGTATTGCCCCATTGACGAGCTTAGCGTCCTCCCCATTCCGCAGGGGTTGGGCTTCATCGAGGCAGCATCGCTACCTTGCGCTGCGCTTACTGCGTGGAACTCTCTCTATGGGCTGCCTGACAAGGCCCTCAAGCCGGGTCAGTGGGTGCTGACGCAGGGTACGGGGGGCGTGAGCATTTTTGCCCTGCAGTTCGCTAAGGCGGCTGGTGCGAGGGTCATCGCAACGACGGGATCGCCGAATAAGGTCGAATTTTTGAAGAAGCTGGGCGCTAACCACGTCCTGAACTACCGGGACACTCCCGAATGGGGTTCCAAGGCGAGGGAGCTGTCTGGTACTGGCGTGGACTACGTTGTTGAAGTCGCTGGCGGCGAATCCATGTACCAGAGCCTTCTAAGTATCAGACGGCAGGGCGTCATCAGTATCGTAGGGTTCTTAAGTGGCATGTCCGGGGACGGGCCGACGCATCTGGGTAATCTGATTTACAGCTGTATCACGCGGGGGGTCACGGTTGGCTCCAAGGCTGAGATGGAGGACATGATTCGTGCCATCGAGGGGAACTTGGGAGGGCTCAGACCGGTTATTGACGAGAATATCTTTGAGTTTGAGGATGCGAAGGCGGCTTTCGCGTACCTAGCCTCGGGGAAGCACCTCGGAAAGATATGCATCAGGGTGGCTAAGCCGTTGTCGGTATAGTGATTCGTTAGGCTTAAGTATGAAAGGTTCTGTAGTCTAATTAGGATAGAAATTACAAAATCCCATTACATACTCCTAATTCGAGTCTCTTAAACAGTACTAGATTTGAGATATGATCTTAGTATTTAGGTTAAAGTCGTCGCCTTCATCTAGTATTAGGGACCTAACTACCTAAACGCTATAATAAACACCTATACTATTAAATAGGCTTCACTTCTTACGTTAACCTAATTCTTAGCTTTAGCTGTGCTAGAAGCTCTGGACTATTAGTTCGGTATTACGATAGGTATAATATATAATTCTTCCTAGCTATTAGGCTTTCCTAGGAGCAGGAAAGCTACTCTTACTAGCTCTGCGGGGTTATATAAGTAAATTATTTACTCCTCTATAGAGTTAGCTATCTAATCTAGTTTAATATATATAATTATTTATAAAGAGAATTATATAGAATAATTATAAAGTAATTTAAAGATAGGAATTATACTTCCGCTAATTAGAACCCTATACTCTAAATCCATTTATAGAGAGTATTAAAGTAAATACTAGTAATACTCTATAGCCTATATACTATAACTAGAGGTTTTAATTATAAGTTAATTAAATCTCTTTTTTAAAGGATAATTAACTCTTTATATTTCCTTTTCTTTAAAAATATATATAACTCTTTTCTTAATTATTAATTTTATTTTCTACTTATAATTAATTCTATATTATTAAATATTTTCTTTCTTTTATTATTATTAAGCTTTAATAATATAAGTCTTTTCTTATTCTATATTTATTATTATATAATAGTTTATATTTAATATTCTATATATCTTTACTTTATATATTATTTTAATAGTTTTTAGTTTTTTAAATAAATCTAGTACTATATAGAAAGCCTTTAATAATAAGTAAAGGGATTAATTCTTAATCTTTGAAAAGTCTTTAAAAGGATAGAATAATAAATACCCTTCTTTAAATCCTAATTTATTAACCTTTCTATTAAATTAATATTATAAGATTCTCTAGGGTAGTAATAACTATAAGGGATTACTAATATAGGGATTACTAAAGCTAAGATATTTAGCTCTTAGGAGTATTTAAATTATAGCTTAACGTATATATATAGTAAGTAGACTAGTATAGTAAGTAGACTACTTTCGTATTATTTTCTAAACTTTAATATTCTACTTTACTTTTCTCTATAACTAATTATAGAAATACTTTCTTAAGATAATAAGCTATTCCTTACCTATTAAATAATAGAAGAAGATCTAGGGTTAAACGCTTAATATATTATAGCTACTTATAATATTAACTAAATAACTCTTATTTACTATTAGAATAGCACTCTATCCTAAAGCGAAATTATATTTAAATTAAAGAAACTAATAGTATTAGAAGAATAAACGATTAAAAAATTTATATTAGACTTAGATTCCTAATTATACCCCCTTTAGTTAGATTATATTAGAGATATAGTAAATATCCTATTAATAGTATATAATATATTATTTAAAAGACTATAATAGGCTCTAAGATTTATTAAACGATAATTTATATTCTAAATATATATCTTTCGAAAGTATAATTATAAACTAGCTTAATATAAAGATCTTAATATAATGAATATATAGTTTACGATTATATATAATATAGTTATTAAGTATAGTATAATAGATAAAGATATTTTTAATCTTAATAAAACTAGTTTCTAAATAAGTATTATTATTAATAGAATAATTATTATAAACTCTAAAAGACGTTCTAATATTAAGATAAGATAATTAAATAATTAGGAATAGATTATAGTAATTTAAGGTATTAGTATAATTAGATTCTATATCCTATTATATATTATTATTATAATTAGAGTTTACTTCTTATTATAATATAAAGAAAATATATTTCATTATAATTATAAGGTTAAAACCTCTTTAAATAATTAGACTATAAATAATATTAATCTAGATTAGTTTAGTATCTCGATTAATATATAAAGTTATATATTTTAAGTATATTTTATATTCTTATCCTAGATAATTAAAAGCGTATTATTCTATTAAATTCCAGCTTTATTATAAAGGGAATAAGATTATTATATTTATATACCTTTTTATTTATTCTATTTACTTTAACCTTTTAATATTAATTATTTTAGATTATTAAAGAAAATATATAAATAGGGAATTAAATTAAAAATAAATATTAATATAAATTATATTATTAAAGAGTATTCCCTTTAAATATTTCTAATTATATTCTAAAATATAATAATAAAAAAGAATATATAAAAATATTAAACTAATATTAGGGAATTCCCTAAGGTAGTAATCCCGATAGGGGATTACTAATATAGTAATTACTAGAGCTATAGATTTATAGCTCCTAGGAGTACGTGAATTATAGCTTACGTAATCGGTGAATTAGATAGGTATATCTAATTTATATAAGTAATAATAATTTAAGGATAGAGCGAGATATTATAAGATATATATTACTTACTCTATATATTTAGAGCTCTTAGGTATAGTTAAAGTAATAAATTAAAGTTTATATAAATAGTAAAACCCTTTTAATATTAATTAGTATTACGTTTAATATAATATAGAATAATTAAAGCTAGAGAAATTAAGATCGATCCTATAAATAGTATATTTACTATATATAAGTTTATCGATTACGCTT